CCATTAGCCATGCCACAATATGAGGTGGCATATGATGTGGCTTTATTAATTAAATTTATAAATTCCAACATGGATATTAGGTGGTGCTTCCATAAAAATAACACAATAATTGTGAAAGAAATAAATAAAATATCTTTAACAGAATCGTTCTCATACAATCGGAGGATTCACCACCCGCGCGTACTCCACAGACGACCGACGGCTTGGACCAAGAAAACCTCTGGCTTTTGCAGCTTCGTTTGAGCTCCACCTCCAGAACAAGATTAATAAAAATTATCGTTTTCTGCCCACATTAAATCCCTTCTTTTCCTTCGTTTTCCTTCATTATATAGTGAAACTTGAGAGTATAAAACAACAGAAATTTCATCTCATCCCCTCCCCCAAATCTCACCGATCTCAACATATCCAACAACGAGCTCTGCGGATTTCTCCTAGACAGTTTAATTTCGAGGTACAAATTGAGAAGCTTCGCCAGCATCCAAGCCCTATCGCAGAACGCCGTCCAGCCCAAGCTCCATCTTCCCATCGCAAAAGCAAAATGGTGTGTTCAATTCCACGGATTGTTGAATACCAAAAAGGCAAAAGCAAAAATGGTTTTGCGGCCCCTCAAAATGGTTTGTTCAATTCCACGGATTGATTGATTGTTGAATTCCACGGGCTGTTCCGAGTTTCGAGGTATTCCACGAATTGCTTCCAATTCACTGGAAAAGCACCGCAAAAAGCTCAGCAACGGTGGCGTCGGTGAGTGAAGTCGTGAGGTTGAAATGGATTTGGGGTAATGGGAATAGCTTATTATTTTGGGAACAGATTCCAAAATAGTTTTGGTATGAAAAATCTTAAAACAAAAGCCCTCTAATATTCATGTTGTAATTATAAATCTAATTAATAAAACCACATCATATGCCACCTCATATTGTGGCATACTTATGGTGCCCATGTGGGTACCATAGAATTTTTGTTATTTAATAACATAAAGAATTTTTTAATAAGTGTCATTTTGAGAAGTTGCACAATAATTAGAATTTTTTGTTTACCAATAATAACCTCACTAATAATGATATAGATGGATGTTTTGAGAAAATATGAAGATTGAATATGAAAAGACGTAGTGTAATTATTAGCTAGATGATGGTAAAATAGAAAATATGTACAAAAAATTCAAAACGTCATTTATTTAATCAATACTTGATAAAGCCAAAATGACATTTAAAAAAAATATGCGGTAATATATTTTATTTCTTTTTTAAAAAAGTACAATTGATGGTGTGATAATTAAATCGCCTCAAAAAAATTTCTGTACATATTTAAAGGATGATACTTATTTCTCACAAGGTCTAGCAATCGCATTTAAAGCAAGGACCAAAAATTCCCACCAAACGCCACATTCATTTTGGGTAGCCACTTTGATTGTAGAGAGAGAACATGATACATGGACAAAACCAACGTGACTTGTTGTTGGATTTTTGGCCATAGTGAAAAATTCTTGACGCTTGGGCAGAATGTGTAATTTATTTTTAACTGCATTAATTCCTTGGTTGGTTGAGGTGAAAGGACACGAGTTTGTTTGGGATACAGCTTGCAAGCAAGAGATTGCATCTTTTGGCGGCCTCAAATTGCAGATATCCATTGCTTGGCAAAGCAAACACTGGGAAAAAGGTACATATAAGCTTATCAATAAAAAAGTTGGCCCACTCACAATATACCTCAATAGTGTGCTCGACTACTAGCAAATAATCTGGAGCTTGAGATATAAATCAATAATTATTAAAAAAAAAAAGAACCATCACTAATTTTTATATAGAAAAGAGAAAAAAGTATCCTGGAAATATCACCGGTTCTTGTGGATGTAATTCGCANAAACAATTAGGAATATGTAACTTTCAGTCCCAACTATATAAAGATCCTAAGAATAGACACATTAGCTTAAATCCATAACGCAATTAAACACTCAAACCTAACACATCATTACGCGTGGAACAAGCTGCATGATGCTCCTAGGTATTAATTTCCCTATATAAATAAAAAAATTACGCAAATTCTCCACATACATAATTGCTTAATGTATTGGTCAGGTCTCTACATAATTTTCTCAAGCTCAATAATATAATGAAATGATCCAACGCCAAGAAGATATAAATGAAATAACCATAAATAAGATGGAGTGATTACTAATAGACAACTTATTAATAATTATCACATCTCAATATCATAGTCCACAAGAGATAAAAAGGGATGATAATGAGATTAAAACCATACTGAGCTACAAAGAGAACCCTCTCGGACGGCTCTAACAGCACAAGAAAACCCAAAAAATGATCCTCAGAAACTCACATTAATCACCCCAAAACAAAATCATCTCCCATAAACAAAGACAATAAACAAACAAAAACAGACTCCATAACAAACAACCTCCGCAACTGAATTATCCAGTCCTTGCAAAAAAACACTCATTCAAAACACTTAAACAAAGTCTTCAAAACCAACCATAATAATGGTGAATAATGCTAACACTACAAAATACTACTCATATATAATAATATTAATCCTAATAGCTGCAAAACTTATGGGCATGCTATATTGAGGGACACTCCATTAATCCCTTCATCCATCCACGTAAACGCTTCATTACAAGCATCCAAATCCAGATCGAAATCAAAATCAGGCAAAGAATCCTCACCATCCATCCCGCAAATCGGGAATTCGTCAAATGCGAAATCATCCAACGGACCAAAATCACCACCACCGCTAAGAAGCATATCGAGCTCCACATCCAAATCCAGCTCATCCCCAATTTCAGCCAAGTCAATCAGTTCCTTGCTCATGAGCCCAATCTCAGTATTATTATTACTATTATTATTATCCTCATTCTTCTCATCAACAACCTTAGCCTCCACAATAACACCGTTTTCCGCCTTTGAGCTAAGTGAGTCGAGCTCCAAAACCGACGATGGGGAAGTGTGCGAACCAAGCGACTCAGAGCTGCCGCTCGAGACCTCCGAAAGCTGACGGCTGAGGGTATTATTGTCATTTGAGCTTTTTCCAGAAAGGGCAGCAGCAGCCTCGAACTCGAGCCGTTTGGACTCATAGGCCTGAGAGGCCTCCTCAGCAGTGTTGTAAGTGCCAAGCCAGACCCGTTTTTGCTGAAACGGGTCGCGGATCTCAGCAGCCCATTTGCCCCATTTTCTAAGACGGACGCCTCTGTATCTCCCGATTGAGGGGTTAGGAAAGGTTTGACTCTTCTTTGACCCTTTTCCGCCATTGTTGCTCTCTTGGACAGAGGTCTCGGGTTCAGAGGGTTTTGTTAGGCGGCCCGAGTTTGCAGTTGGGAAAAAGATTTCTCGAACTATGCGTTTAACCTTCTTCTCAGAAGATCCCTCGTCATCTGAGGAGTCTGTAGCGTCAGGATCGTTGCAGATTATGCGGATCTTCTTCATGGGTCGGGCTATCTCGGGTCGAACTCTTTGTTTCCGGGCAATGGATTGTTTGTTCAATGGAAATGGCTTTCCAGGCTCAGGCATCTTCTTTTTCCTTCTATCTCGGTTAAATTTTGATATGAAAAACCCCTCAACAAGTACACCCAAGTAATTTATTTCCTCAAAATTGATTTAATCAACAAAAGCAAGAAAACTTCAAAAAACAAAAAATTGAAAGGATGTTTTATACGAAAGCACTTTCAGAGGAAGGAGTTTCTTCTTTCAAGTAAGAGGGCCTAAAATATTGAATAGCCGATTTATGTGGTAACCCCCAAAACACACAACTCCAGAACAAGTCCTGCAAACACCGAAAAGCAACCGAGAATTCACAGATCAGCCCGGAAAAGCCACAAAACCTCCGAAACAACCAATCAAATCAACACGAACAACCACTAGTTTTACTAAAATTGAGCAAAATCATAAAGCAAGAGGGTTTTAAGAAAGGGGGTTTGTAGGTTTTTTTACCTCTTGGGCCTCAAACGCATCGAAACAGTCGGGTGGAGAGAGAAAGCGCTCTGCTGGAGTCCACAGCAGAGGGATTTTCGCATGCAGCGACCAGAAGATGAAGAGAGCGGCGAAGAATAGAGCCTCAACTGAGCCCCAGAAACAACAACAGCCAAATCAAAACTTGCCGACATAAAACTCTCTTGTCCGACCCGTCGTATCTCGAGAGAAAGCCCCCTTATCAGAAACTCTTCAAAAACCCAAAAGAGAGAGAGGAAAAAGGACTGTCTCAGATTCACTTATATATAGATGTGTGAAGATAACACTTTCTATATCTCTACCGAAAAAAGAACAAACAGAGGACGCGAGCTATGTAAAGGGATTAGATATCGATGGCTGTAATTTCTTGCCAAAACACAACAAAAGATCTTTGCAGAAACACGCAGACTTGATATAGACCGCTTCTTCTTTAATACAGTGCTAAAAATGAAAGGGAGATGGAAAATAAAATTGAAGAGAGATGAAGCCTCTGATGTGTGCCGAGTACTTGTGAGTGTAAATATAGAGTGCAAAAGGTAAACTGCTATCAAAATNATTTTATTTATTTTTATTTGACAACACCACAATCAAAGTCTGACCAAGAACGCAAATCTCAAGAGCACAATAGAAATAAAAATAGAAACATGAACAGAAACTCGTGTCTTACATCAAAAATCTGAAACAAATCAAATAAACAATTAATAACAGAAGAAAAATATAACTCGCGTACATACGTATGGATGGATATACATAAGCTCTTGCTTACCTTTCTTTTTGTATTTCCCTACTTTTGATGGTCCTCTCGGGTCCTTTTCCCACTCGCTGCGCGTCTGTATTTGTCTTGGCTTTTTGTCTGCTGTTTCTTAAATTAATTTTTTTCCTCTGCAAATTTCGCTATTTCCTATGCGGTCAAAATGAGGCTGGTGAGGGGTTTTCATATAAATATATGTACAGCTATAGAGATTTTAATGGGATATGGGAGATTTTTACCCATTTCGTTATTTTCCGAGGGGTAAAAAGGTGATTTCGCGATGAGCTGGCGATATGCATGACCATCGAGGGGTCATACATTCATTTCATGCATATCATGCCATCCCATGGTTGGTGAAGGAAGATACCTATGCCGATGGGTTTCTCTCGAACTCTCGGGAGATGTGCGTGGGTCACACGGACGGATATGATCAATAGTTGTGGCGAGTAACGTTTGTGGAGCGTTGGGATAACGTTTCTGACTTTTCTTCTAGTGGATTACAGCTATTTTTCTTCTGTTTGTTTGGAGTGTTTTCTTATGGCTGTGGTTTGCTAAATTCACCATTGTGCCACAGCCTAGTGACCCTTTAGCGTAGACATGACTACGACTGAACCGGCATGCTAGTTCACACCCCCGTGGTCGGACTTTAAACTAAATCCGTAGTTTGTAGGGGTGCACAAAATTCGGTTAACCGAGCTAACCGATCGAAGTCGAAAATTCGGTTTGGACATAAATCGAAATCAAATATTTGGTTCGGTTTATGTTTTCATAAAATTTCGGTTTTCGGTTCGGTTTGGATAATTGTAATCGATTAACCGAACCAAATCGAAAACCGATTTATACGCATATATATACATATTTTTTATTTATATATATATAAGTTATAAAAGCATTAATTTGCTTCAATAATTGATGATTTTCAAGTTTCAATAACCTTTAAATTGGCTCGAGCATTAATTTGCAATCAAGATTGGCTTCGTCATAGTCCAAGTCACGGTTCCGGTCCGAGATCTTCCTTTGAGGAGAATTAGAATTTATTAGGAAGATTAAACAAGGTGGTAAAAAAATAATTTTTTTTTGTTCGGATAAAACATCAAATTTTTTGTTCGGCTAAAATTTTAGAATTTATTGAGCGATTAACCAAAAATTGAACTGAACTGACCTCTGGATTTTCTGTTAAAAACCAAATTGAACCGTAAATTTTGGTTCGATTTTCGGTTATGATAATGGACAGACCGAATTTTCCGTTCGATTCAGTTTCGACTGAATGAGCAGCCCTACTAGTTTGACCCGGTTTGGTTTTAGGAGACATGTATGTACCTTTTGAATCGCCGGACCAATTTCGAATCAAAATCGTAATCGACGGTTCTACTTTTTTGTTTTTCATTTTTTATTTTTTATTTTTTAGATACTCGGGCTAGCTTGGAACTATCGGTTCACCAAACCGGCTCAGAACCGACTATTTAGACCTGGAACCGTGCCTAGAACTGTTTTTGGCTATGTCTACTTTTAGGTGAGGTGCACACGATATTTTTCTAAAGATGTATATCAAAAATATTTCTTTGCTTGCGTTCAAAATTCCTAAATCAGAAAAAAAAAATAATAAAAAAAAAATAAAGCGCTTTCTTATAGGTGTCTATCTCCTTTCTGTCGGGCTGCAACCTCCGACGCGGCGCCGCTCTCCATCGAGGCATTAGCGAGCTTCTCGTCTTGTCTTCTCCCCCTCTTTGGCTCGGCTCGGCGCGTCTCCGTCTTCTGGTGGCCATGATGGAGTTTGAGGTGGGGTCGAGCGACGAGTACGTGGTTCCGGCTCTGTACGCTGCCGTTGTGGGGGATGGGTCTAAGTCCGATGCAGTCTGGCCACGTGGATCCTCTCCGCCTTCTTATTGTTGGAGCGGATGGTTCTAATGCATGGGGTGGTTGGCTGCCTTTGGTGGGGGTCGACTGTCGTTGTCGATTTGGTGATGGGGGAAGGGGGGAGGGTTGTTCTGTGTTGGCTCTCAGTGTGTTTGGGGTGGTTCCTGTAAAAGAAGTTTGGGCTCGTTTGGTCTGGATCTAGTTCTAGGCTGTTTTCTGCTTTCTGTCGGGGACCGTGTTGCTTGGTTGTTTTCAGTTGTCTACTGGTGATTAGGGAGGGCCTTAGTTTATCTTACTTTAACTTCTAAGTTTCAGTTTTGTGCTTGTTGTTTGGCGTTTGTAGTTTGTTTTGTATGTTGGTGGTTGGGTTGCTATCTTTTCTCCTTTTGGGGGTGTGTATCATCTTTTTTAGGATTTTGTATTCTCCACCTGTGGAAGCTGTATAGTTTGTTGTATTGTGAGTGCGTTAGTGTAGTTGATTCTAGGCTACCTCTGAGTTGGCCTTCAAACTACATTCAGAAAAAAAAAATAAATAAATAAAAAATCAAGATTTATATCAGTTAAATTGAGAAAAAAAAATCTCCCTAACATCCGATATGCACATGGATAATATCTATAATATCCTCGCACTAGCAAATATATCTCTATTTTCTATATAAGAGAGTTTAGGGCATCAAGAGGTAAACATGTGTCCATATGTGAGGCACTAAGAGGCTGACATGTGTCCATATGTGATGTTACCAAAATACCTTGCATTGTCTTTTTTTGTTTTTATTTTTTCTTTTTCAAATCGATACAAATAAAACGACGTCATTTAAGCTCACACTTTCTGCAAAATTAACTATATATCCACACTTTCTACTACTTTTGGTGGTTATTATCATCATTTAATTGTACCCACTTTTTTCTTTGCATGGCGAAACTTCTGCACGCAAATTTGTCAGTCTTTTACTCATTCCATCGACTCTACCTTTCTTGTTTTTTCTTTCACTCTCAAACAAGCTGAAACCCTAAAAATATTTCTTCACATATCACCACTTTTGATATTCTCCAATCGATTTTTCAATCAAGCCCTATGTCTCCAACTCTTCTTCGTGACGGCGGTACCACCAATCTCAATTAGCTCTTCGCCTTCACTATTGTCACGTCACCGGTGCTGGCGCAGATTCTTATTAGCACCTACATGAATGTCCCAACGCTGCCCATGTAATTTTGGGATTCAAAATCCATGTCCATTTTGTGATTTTCATTGTAACGGTTTTTTTTTCTTCCTTCAGTGATTTGGGGAGATGTTGGTAGTGATCGGATTCTTCAACTAAAGGGACCAGACATTGCTCAAGCTTTAAAATGTCTTGGATTGTATCAAGTGTGTCATATGGTCCAAAGAAAAGTTACGAGGGAACCATGTCACCATGATTAAAAAAAGTCGGATATGATAATGTAATAAAAAACCTTGAGGGATTGGAAGTAAATTTCACCTTAATGTGTTACTTTGGCAATGTGTTCTATTCATTTGATATTCATCTGTTTGGTTTTCTCAGTTTCAGATTCAGTACTCTAAGTAAGGCCAAAGGATTAAACCTCCTAAGGTAATGCTCTTGAGTTTTGATGAACGCAAGCTGGTTTTTATATTCTTTTATCAAATTTGGACTTTATTCCTGAAATTTAGGGAGTACAAGACTTCCACTTTCAAACTAAGTAAACAATAAACATTCACAAGTATATCGAAAGCCAATTAAACATAAAATGGACCTTCAAGGGAGCATCCCACTCTTTCCCGAAACTCTTTCGTTAAATAAGTGTTCGGCCAATCGAACAACTAGGATTTATAGCAAAGACTCGCTTTCTAACCTAAGTCGTACTCACACTTATTTAACTTCTTTTTCGGCCACTCCCGTGGACTTTGTTTGCATACACGGATCCCTTCGAGCAATGAAAAGTGCTCGTCCAAAGCACCAAGAAGATGATTATAAATCTTATGGCTCAAATCAGAGTTGACAACTTCTAATTTGATCATTCATTAAAAAAAAGAGAAACTAAACAAGAGATCGTTCTTCAACAGCTCTCTCGCACGCTCAAATCTAAGATAATGAAAGTTGCCAAGTAAAACTAGAATGCGTGCAAACTAAATACAAGGTTGTACAAGGTAAGTAGGTTCTTTATAAACTTTCCAAATATAGTCACTCTCTTCACCTAGGTATGTGTATGTGTCCAAGTTCTTCCAATCAAGCCAGTCCGTCTCTCTCCTCTATGCAAGGTAAGTTCCCTTTTGCCCACATGTCTCCCTCAAGCCTCGCTGATTTTGCTCAGCTCTATGTATGGAAAAATCCACGATTCTTTCTTGTCTACATAAATAGATAGATTAATATGCTTAAGAATAAAAGTAGTAAAAACTAATATTGGAAATAACAAGATACTGAAACTTTCCTTGATCTTCAAGTGGTTTTCCGAGTTTTCCTACAATAACAAACAATATGAAGGACTTATTTGGAATTTCTAATTTAATGCCAAAAATCAAATTATTACAATTTCCCCCTTCGACATATAAATTGAAAAATCTTTTGGAAGTGAACCTGCATAAGTCATCTATTCGAGCAAACAAAAATAGGCAACACAAGAAGAACCATTATAAGATAATGGCCTTGTTTGGTAATCAACGGTTAGTTGTGAGCTGTTAGCGGATTATATTAGCTGCTTTGACCAGCGGATTGTGTTAGCTATTTTGACCAGCTGATTCTGTTAGCGGTTTGTAAAAAAGTGTTTGGTTAAATCAGCTATTTTGAATTAGTTGTTAATATATAAAATTGCTTATAAGAACATGAACATACTTTATCATTCTTATTTATGTTTAACTTATAATTATTTAAAATAAAAATAATTAATATTTTCAATATTTATTAAAGTGATTTAAATATAATATTAATAATAATAAAATAAAAATATTTTTTAATTGAGTAAATAAGTTCACGTTATATAAATAAAGCCATGCGATTATTAAAAAAAAATGCATCTATTCTAATTAAGTATGAATATTTGTTCAATTAAAAAGATACTAATTATTGATGATAGGAACATGTACACACTTAAATTTTTTACTTATTAATTTTTAATATTTACCGGTACATAGATTGAAGTTATTGTAATCTTATGTCAACAAAAATATGAGTAAGATAAATTAAATTAAAATTTAAAAAATTGTGTGCAAGCCCCTCTTTACACAAATTTTCTCTCTACAAACATTCTTAGCCCCAATTCAAAAACCTAGCTGAATCTAGCTCATCGGAGCCTCCCTTCCTCCAGCCCATCGTCCCCACTACTCCAAATCGGCTCCTGGGCTATTAGCACGTCTCCTTGCAGGCCGTCTGCCCCTCCCGCTGCAGCGTCTCGCCTTTTGTGGTTGGCTGTGGGGGATGGTCGGGGCTTTTGGCTTACGGGAGATTGTGGCAAGGCTGGCTCCGGCCGCCGTGTGTCGGTGGCTGGGGTCGAGACAACCTTTTAATTATGATCTTCGTTCCTCTTCTTGTCCTGGTGCTGGGCTTGGAGGGGTCCTCCGCTGGTGGCTCCCGATGCGGCTCGTGTGGGTTCGTTACCTTTGAGGTGGGTTGGGAGTGGAGTTGACCCGGTGGTGGCCACTCGGTAGGTCGTTGATCTTGTCAGGTTGCATTCATTGGCGGGTGGTCGCTTGGGTCTTGGCTCGAGCAGTGTGGGTGCGGCATGCATTCGGACGGAGGGGAGGGCAATAGTCTTTTTAGTTTTGTTTCATTGTAGTTGTCTTTGTTTGTTTGCTAGTGTTGTGTGTTTTGGTATTTTGGTTTGTTCTGTCCGTGTTTTTCTTTTTTCACTCCCGTTGGGAGTATGTTTGGTGTATTCTCCTATTGGTTTATTCTCCTATTAGGAGCTTTTGTGTGTGTTTTGCGTTGTAGGTTGTGTGTTCTTTCTCCCTTTGGGAGTTCGTGTGCTTATGGGTAGGTTGACTCTCTGTTGTAAGTGTAGTCCTCTTTACTGGAGTCAACTATTCAGCTAATTCGGTTATTCGGCTGAGTAGTTGATCTCTAGTCTCGACTTTGTTGTGAATATAAGATCTTCCTATCGTTACGTTAAAAAATAAAAATTGTGTGCAAGACAATTAAAATTTAATGTGCACAACGCGATCGCATCTGTCTGAGGGAGAGATTGCCAAAGCAGGCAGAGAAGCTTACACCTAAAAGGAACATGACGAAAAAAAAA